AAATACCTACACTAATTATACCTAATATATAATATGAAATACCTACAACAAAAACACCTTCACTTATTTAGTAGCACCTCAAAATCGTAGTTCATCTGAGTCGGAATTTTGACCTACACTATACCTGTTAGCCCCGCCATGTAAACAAGTCAACGTTTTGCTTACCTCTCAGGCAATCAAGGAACCAATTATCCGACCTAGAAGAATTGGATAGGCTTGGCTGTTATGGGACGCGCAGAACCGGATCGAGTTTCGATACCCTAGCACCATGCGTGACCACAAGATAAAAGCAACACACACGCTGCCAGTAACACACTTTCTGCCGCAACAATGGACTATAAAACAATACAACTTGATCCAATCGATAAAAAGCGGTGTCATAGGCCTGGTTTGTCCTGTGCGACTATCCTCCAACGGTTTACTGGGTCGTAGTGGCTTACGAAACGTAGAACCGTGCACTGTGATGTGTTTCGCCGAGAGAAAGCAATCCTCTAAGTTGCATGCCGAATCTATATATTCATTGTAATTGCCTATGTCATGGACACCATTCGGAAGAAGCCATAAACTGAAAGTCAACACACACGAAAAACCTAAATATTAGTATTAGCAGCAATAAGAGTACAAAATAAAAAGTTATAAACAGATAACAAACATCCAAACTAATTGATAGATAAGAGACATAATAATATGTATAAAAAAAAAGGATAAAGCATTTGCCGTTGATCAATCCCTTTTTGGGATGCGGCACGCATTCTACTTCCATTTGTACATTCGTAGTGGCGTTTGAATGCGATGTGGCCTATACAATGACTTGCGGGGGCCAGCCGATGTACAAGTCAGTGTTTTTTATCCTCCCAGACAAGTCTGGTACCAATTAACCGACCCCGGAGGGATGGAAGGCTTGGTTGGCCCGGGCGACTCACGACCCAGGATTTGATCCCCGGACCGCTCGCGTGGTGAGCGTGCCACTTGCCACTACACCACTTCCGCCCTCGTATAATTTATATTACACGAAGATACATGTGATTAGGTACTCGCAAATTTTCCGAAGCATTTAGGAATAATTGCAAAAATCGGATTACTTAACGGAGATTAAGAATCAATCTAGCTACAAACTAGTTTTCGCGTTCCACGAACCGGGATCAATCCCTGACGGGTGATTTGGCTACAAACTTGTCCCTAGGGGTATTTTAATCTCCGGGACACGAATATCACTGTTTGCTGCAAAAACGTCTGCCAAGAGTTCTGTGGGCTCCATGTGCAGTCGTTAGTAAGTAGCGCCCAAACTTGTTAGAAACTCCTCGCAAACTCGTTGTACGGGTGACTATGTTCAAGTAATTTAGTTAGAGTCTTTTCAACCATATTGCCGCAAAGACAAAAGGGATAGTCCGTCAGAGATCGATCCTACCATTTCTCGCTCTGAGCCTGGACCACTACCATATTGCCTGCATCTATTTTGCTTCATAACTCCGTTCAGAAAATCGATTGGCAGATTTGGAAAGCAGATTCGAGATCAGCGTCCAAAACACATCCAGCTGTGTAGGTCTCATTGCATAGGGCCATCCCGGCCCATCATCCTTTCCTAGTTAGGGAAAAAGCCTTCCAGTTTTTACGTCGGCTACTCTTCATATTTCCTAAATTTTGCATTTCAGGTGTAAATAAAGGACTCTGCAGTCAACCTAATAAATTATGTGCTTTGCATGCAATATGATTCGCGTTGACTTTATCATCTTGAGAAGCAGTGCTCTTCTTTTGAGCACTGTTGGCATGAAGGGCTGATGCAATTGCCTCAAAGTCATCACGCGTTTTCGCTCATGCGTCATGTCATTGAAGAAATTTTATCCCTTGATTTTGCCATAGAGGGGAATCATCAAAAATGTATATTTTTCGAAGAAGCCTCGAATTAGGTGACCTCATTGCTGAGCTCACCTCATTCTCAGCCACTTGCAATTGCAGTGCGTTTTCGCGCTCTCATCATGCGTTCCTTACACTAGCTATGCGCTATGCGTTATGCACAAGGTCGAGCGCGCGAGCGCAGATTTCAAAGACGGTGACACCCGACTAAATCGCTTTGACATGTTGTTCTTCTCATGACATTTGACACTTTAATTGTTACTGAAGATACGTATCATAGCGCGAAACCTGCTGCTAATTGACTAGACGGAAATCTACAAGGCTAAAGCCAACGGTGATCGCACCTTGATGGGGCTCCTCTGGGATACTGTAGTTTGGCTTGTCCTATATAAGAAAGCAGGAGAGCTCTTTAGAAGCGACTAGCACTCAGAATCTCAAGGTGAACGAGTATTCATTAGAATTTCTGAGGGACGGGGAATCACTTTACAAAAAGCACACGTTGGGCAAAGATCATCAATACCACGAGTGAGCCGTGAAATTTCTTCAACTTTCTCTGTTCTTATTCGTTTGCTTAGTTTTTCGTCGCTATCGCAAAGCAAGGGGCATCCAGAGAGTGAGAGACTACGCCTAGAGGAGGACAGAAACCGCGGAAATGAATGCTTTCCCTCGCGTACCTCGCCTTCTTTCCGCTCATCCTGCAAGTTTAGTCCTCTACAACAAATAAGCTTTTTTTACGCAGTCAGGGTGCTAACCACCGCATAATACCTCCTTATCGATGTAATAGCGCTGGTTTTCTTTATTTTTGGACTTTCGTCCCGACACGGGTTTTTTATCAAGGAAGGTCTTCAGAAACTAGAACCACCTTCGACTGCTATAGTACAAAGTAAGAACACGTGACACTTCTGGCATCACAATTCAGCGCCGATGGAGAGGATTTGTAAGCAGCTATCGAGTTAAGACACAGGCCGTGACGAGCCATGCACAGCCGCAGCATATGCACTAAGCGAACTATTTTTGTTAGTAGTAAGGGGTCGTGTACAGAATCACATTACCTCTAGAGTCAATTTCCTAGCCGAATCTGAATTTTGGCACTTGAAGAGGGCTCTATCCGCGGCATGCTGGACCCCAAGCGGTGCGCACGTGGAACTCCTGACCCACCCTGCATCCTGAGCATCACAAAACAAATACATGCATATTTGCCAGCTTCGTTAAGCCCTTGAGCGCGTAAACTTTCATGGTTCTTATATTGCTTGCGCTCATTCTGCTTGACCATCATCATCACCATCAGAGCGTGTTCGGCTTCTTAAGCGATTCCGGCGGAAATTCATGTTGCTAAGCGGCCATTGTCCACAAAGGCCCACACGTGATGCTCATAAGCGGTCACAGGCCCAGTCAGCAACGGCCACAACTCTCCCATCGACTTTAATACTTCATCGTCGAGCATACATGGAAGTGGAGCTGCTTACAAGCACTAACTGCAAGTTCTGTGATTGATTTTTATACGAATTATTGAACTTCATAACCTTTTGGGTAGTTCTATAAAATGTCATTCTCAGCGAGAACGATGAACATATCTTTGTTTAATGCCTTCTAAATCCAACTTCAACTAAACAACTTAAAAATTGTAATCAATGCCTTAAAGGCACGCTCCGCGATCAGGCGGGCTCGCCTGTTCCATCCAGGGGGTAGTAGGCAGGTGGACAAGTGTTGATGTCGGGCCCCTTTTGCGGCTTGAAAGTGCGCGACAAAGGCGCAAGGAGCTCGTCCAACCCGCAACTCACACCTTCGTCCGCAAGCCCCACCCTCTCGCTGTCGGTTGCCACGTGGCGCTGGCGGTGCTTGAAAGCGCGGGCGCGATTGAGGCAGTGGTCCCAGCGCGATCCAATGTTATTGACACTGGAGCAAGTAGAGTTAGGTTCGTGAAACTCGTCCAATTCGCCTCTTCTCTATCCCAAGGTGGAATGTGGCTGAAATAGGGGAGGTCTCTGTACGGGGCGTAATCGGTGGTTTCGTTTGCTTTCCTTCTCTTTTACAGACCACCTCCCACCTATAGCTTCATAACTGAACGCTTTTCCACACCTATTTTATCCCGAATCTTGCCTTTAAGTAGACGAGTAGTATGCGTTCTATTCAATATTTAGGAATTTCCTTCAAGACAGGAACCTCTGAGACTGGCTAAAAAAGTGCATAGTAGAAATTTGCTTGCGAAAAGTGATCCCAAACAAACTCAGTGATGTCGCCAACCTGGCTCTCCGCATTATAAATGATCACTGATAGCCGATAAGCCATTGAAATCCCAGGGAAGGGGATGCGAGGTCTCTGGAATGTAGTGTGTGGCTACACTCCGGTAAGCTTGAGGTCAGGTAGAGCGCAACAACAGAGCTTATTCGCGTTACCGTTCCTCACTATCGCTTGTAGTTAGCCTCACTCACGAAATGGGGAGCGAAAATTGTTTATAAGAGATAAGACGACAATAATGGAATAATCCAAATGTTAGTTGTCCTCAACCAGAGCTCGAGGCCTGTTATTTCATACCAACCGTCACTTTGGAATCTTTCTCACATTTTTTCATTTTTGACCCGGAGAAACTCAGCAAAATCTGCCTCTCTATATGAGTGAGCTAAACAAACGAGAGGAATTTTGTTTTACCATTTGAAAGTAAATTAGTTATCCTGTTAAGTTAAAGTTATTACTGAGAAATCCAAACCGACTATCAAACACTAACCAGGAAGGTCTTTCAGGGCGTGACGAGCTTTTTGAAAACGGTCTTTTGCATGATATAGGGGCAGATGCGGGGACCACAGAACCATGTTTAATTTTTCCTGAACGGCCCCAGAAAAGGGGGTCCCTAGTTCGATTCCTCTTGGTGACAAATTTTTGCATTTCGAGTTGACGTTCCAAAATTCGCGCAAAATGGAGTTCTGATTGTTCTGGTTGGTTCTAACTCCATTTTGCGCGAATTTTGGCACGTCAACTCGAAATGCAAAAATTTGTTACCACGAGGAATCGAACTAGGGACCTCCTTTTCTGGTATTTCTGAAAGACCTTCCTGGTGAGCAGCACTAGAGCAACCGAATCCCAACTGAACATTAACATTTGATGCTTGTCATTCTCATGAATACGAAAATAGAAAAGTTTCGAAAGTCATGGTACGTAAACATGTATTTGTTAAGCGTGAAGTGATCTCAATCCACGTTGGTCAGGCTGGTGTGCAAATCGGTAATGCCTGCTGGGAACTATACTGCCTAGAACACGCCATACAGCCTGGTGAGTGAATACATTTCTGAAAGGCTTTATTATATTAGTATTCAATAAGACAACACGATACAATATATAAGATCATCCCAACGATGTTATAGGAGACCAATGCCTTTCGAACCGCAACGACTGTGAAGTCGTGCCAAAGCACACATAAGAGTCTAGGGGCCTTCTTAGTTTGCTTCTGAGTGACTCCTCCTTATGGCAGATCGTGATAGCAACTCCCTAAAAGCGTCTGCAGTTCAGCATTCTCTTTCCAAGACACCATCTGGCCAGGTCTTGCCCCTTGGGCTGGGTGACTTTGAGTGTTGTAGTTCAGCCAGCCTTATAGAAAAGGGAGATTCCCAATTCCATGAGAGTTCCCCATACCCTTTACCATATTATCTTATTTGGCGATCACTACCCTACTCTTCGTTCACTTCTGGCCGAAATAGCCTATTTCGTATATTGTAAAATGCGCCTGAAAGCTTGTACAAAAAGCGGGGGCAACTCTACTCAGAAAATGGAAGCAAAATCACCGAAAGCATGAGTACAATAATTTGATGCAATATGTATGAATAGTTATCAAGGTAAACAGTTTTGACTATTAGCACCCTCTATTTTAGATGGAACGATGATCGATTATAACGATGGTGAACAGGACGCTTACAACACGTTTTTTGCTGAGACAAGGCAAGGCAAACACGTGCCAAGATGTCTTTTTGTCGACCTCGAACCCACAGTTGTCGGTGAGTCAGAGTTGGTGTCGTTTTTTTCCTTCTTTTCTCTTACTTTTTCTTTCTTTTTTAGTCACGTTCAGAGCATTCCGTGTCGGGGTTCATGTCATTGGAAACATTGAAATATTTCTTAAGCGGTTGCGGTACAAGTAGAGAGACATAATGCTGTGAGGAGAGGAGAAAACGATAGAGTACGTCGTACCTCGAGAGGTTGCAGACGCCAATTGTGTTGCAATGAACAAGAATAGTGGCAATCGTAGCGGTCAAGCAAAGGCATTAGCTCCCTTCTGGCGCACATTTAAGTCGCGACAGTACCACTACCCCAGTGATAGAGCTCTTGCTACTTCACTCAAGGGAAGAATTTCTCTGAGGATCAACTCGCGCTCAGTGCCTTTAAGGTGAAAGCTACAGTAGTCGAAAGTGTCGCATCCCCCAATCTCCTAGCAAGGCTAATTTGTGACTTGTGTTTCGCAAAACCCTGTGTACGTCTGTAAATACATATGTGCGTGCAACCAGACGTTTCTTAGAAGAAGCACAATGCATGGCGCACTCCAATGGGGATGATCTTAGTGGCAGTTGATAATCACCGGGCAGCTCGTTTTTCCAACTTGCTGCGCTCCAGTGAACTTCAGTACTTCAAACTTACGCAGTAATTTACCTAATTCGAACATATCCGGGACCTGAGGTCCGGGATTAAAAGCTGTAATTTGTGGTCAATGGACCTGCCGAAGAAAATTTCCATTTCAACAAGCACATTCTTGAGTTTTCTTGGTGACCAGCCGCCTCCGAAGTCATTGATGTTATCTTCCCAATAACGTTTGCTGTGGTTAGTAATGAGGGAGTAATTGGGTGAGGTCGAGGTTGTAGTCCAACCCATAATTATATGGTTGCGTCAGAGGACATGAATGTCACGGTATTTTGTGTCGTAATAAACCCTCGCTAGGGTTTCGCCAATATTTCAGTAGCCAAAAATACTACCAAACAAAAAATATGCAACACATATTTAGTAATATGCTATACTATTACTAGTACTGATCCTTCTGTGGATCTTTATTGGCTGCAAACAATTAGGACATGGAACAGAAATTGTGGCAATGGTGTTTGGACCCCAACCAACATGAGGCGTCGAGAATTATGTAATTTCAGAAAAAGTGAAGCAACACGTTCCCATTTGCAAAAAAAACCTTCCATCGGAAAATTGTTGACATTCCTCTCGAGTGATATAGTCGCAGAGACAGTAGTGTGGATGTACTACACAAATTCTGGTCATTATAAAAAGTAGATTGAAATGGGTCTATAAATTTTAACCTTATCAGTAAAAGATAGCCCTAAGGTATTGATGAAGCGCTACTACGGATAAGATAGGAGGACTGCCCCCCCCCCCCATCAAAGCTCCATCGTCTCTGAAATGGAAGGGAGCATTGGTGGAAACAGTGAAATGGATCAATCTGTATCAAACTGTATCTGAATCTATTTTTGGAATCTATAGTATTGAGCACTTCGATTAGGGTTGATTGGTCCCTTCCTGGGTTCAATTCTGCTTTTCTTTTCCTTTCTTCCATATTTCGGAATTTCCACTCCGTACCCTAAAATCCCATAGATAAGAGCGGTTTAATTTACCGGTGAAAAATGAATTGGAATGAAATTGAAATTGAATGCAGTCACCCCTCTAACTTGATGGATGGATAAATAAAAATCGGAGAAGAAGTTTAGAAGAAGCTCCGTCCCTCAACTCTAAACCCCGCCCACTTAATAAACAATTCATATAGAAAAATAGCGATTTTAACGGAATTTCTGCCGGAATCTCTCTAGAAATGCCGGAATTTGATCTCTGGATAGAACTTGAAGAGCCCATTCGATCAGTAAAATTCCATAGATAAGAGCGGTTTAATTTACCGGTAAAAAATGATTTTGAAAAAATATTTTTATTTTTATTTTATTTTTGAAAAAATATCTATGGACCGCTCTTATCTATGGGATTTTATAGGAAAATACGCAGCCTGGGTAAAATAAATTGTTATGAATTAGCGGATGCCACGAGAGAATGAAGAGAATAAAAAAACTTTCCTAAGAAAACTCGATACAACTCACAGAGTCTGTGAGGATGCAGAGCTCACTTGAATCCGCTTCGCATGATACCAAAAACGAGAAACATCTGCCTGCATGGCAGCCGTGGCATTTTCTCAATTCGATCGCGTTATCTTCAAAGAACTGAAGCAAAGCAGTCTTCATGGAGCCTCTGAAGGCACGCCCCGGGATAGGTAAGTGCAGTAATCCGCTTGGCGGATAGATAGAGCTAGGATGTTTGGTAAGATTACCGATGCGCCGTACAAACTGCTCGCCGGTAAACGGCAAGCGCTTCGGTCCGAAAACATGTTTTCTTACCAATTTATACACTACTTTAAATATAACAGCGAGTTATTTCTTAGTTTTTGTTCATGTTTCACCTAATGATTTTGCATTAGCATGCCTTTTCACCGGCTAAAACATAATTATTAATTCACTTATGTGTTTCAGATGAGGTTCGAACTGGCACTTATCGAACACTCTTCCATCCGGAACAATTGTTGTCTGGAAAAGAAGACGCAGCGAATTGCTATGCTAGAGGAAGATACACTGTTGGCAGAGAGATGATCGATGTGAGAAAATTCTTCAAAAATTAACTACAGCCAGAATTTGAATTCAGCAAGCTTCAATGGGTGACGCTTTGGGAGAGCAATGAAAAATTTTGGATTAGGTCGAAATGAATTTTTTCATTACAGGTCGTAATGGATCGATTGCGTCGTCTTGCCGAAAGCTGCAAAGGATTACAAGGTAATGTGCATTGGCGCGTTTAGTTGCCATTGTTTTCATTTTGTTCAAATCTCTCATCAACGATTAGGATTAAAGGATAGACGGGACTGCGTTTGATTCCCATTCTTCTAATCAGAAGGGAGGGTATCACTATCTTGCAGTTGATGGTGAAAATACGACTGACTCAATCTCTCAGATTTGGATATTACGCCTTTGAGCCGTTATAGCACATCAGAACTTTTTTGAACAGAAAACAACTTCCGAAGGAAACTTATATGAACCTAATAGAGGCTATGTAGTTTGAATATTATAATCAGGAAACACTACTTCATGAAACGCTTTGAAGTTTCAACTGCTACGAATGCTCTGCTCAACGATTCGACCTTTGACTAGTAAAAATGGTCTGACTATGATCAACAACGTGTGAATGCAGGGTGTGGGGAAGTTCTAGCGGCTCCTGGAATTTAGTATTTATTAAATTTTTATTAGCAAGAAAACGTATCAAAAATTGAGTGACCACCATAACATCCTACAGCATTTTTTGTTTATTTATTCACCTGTTGATTTATCTGTCGAATTGGAAAGGCAAACATTAAATAGGCAAACAAAACAAGAGTATCAAAGTCAGGCCATCTATTATAGCCACTTAGTGGTAAGAAAACACCAGTATCATAAGTAATAGAGCCGAGAGGGACCGAGGAAGTGAAGGGGCAGAGAAGCGCACGGCACAATGAGGGGAATCCATGACAGACTCCTGCACCATTCCGCAGATGTGCCCTTAGCTCCACAGTAGGGGTCGCACGAATTTGCCGGAACGTCGAGACAGTATACCCACAATCCTCATGAAACCAAAGCTACGTGAGAGTGACCTCCCAAACATTTGCGCCACATTTCTAAGAGACTTCTGATGAGCTCATTCCCAAACTGTATCTAAGACTCGAGAAATTCGACTGAGCAACAATTCATCTCATCTTTATTTTGCAACGTTTGTGCTTGCATGCGTTGGAAATCAACCGGAAAATGTGATAATATGTTGGCGAACTCCGGTGGATGCGGCAGCACTTCCCGTGCAATATCGAGTAACTTCTGCAGTCTCTCACACAGTGTGGACGAGTTTTTCGTCTTCTGGACAGATCGTGCCGTTATTCGGACACCATTGCGCTCCTCAGTGCCGTTGAGCAGCCATCTCCGCGCGTCATGGACGATCGCAATCGGCTACACTGTCAAACGTGCTTGCCTTTCCAAGCGATGCAGATGATCTGCAGTGGTCCTATAATGAGTAACAAAGGCTTGTACTGGCTTGAGCGAAGTTTGGCAGAGGCCTGCCTCTAAAATGTCACGCAATGGTTCCGTGTCCATTATGAGTGAACTCGATCGGGTGGAATATTTGAGGTTGAAATCTTCTCCAGAGGAGCCTCTGGTCCCCTAGAATAATGAGTTGCAATTTGAATTTTGCTAATCATAGGGTTCAGAATAAAGATGCCCTATTCGAGATGCAGCACACTCTTGTAATGTGATGAGGCGCATGTACGCTATTCGTCTCGACCTTTACGCCAGAAATTTTGTATTGATGCTCAAGCTACGAAGAGTTTGTTCTGTCATGAAAAGTTGTCTCTTATTCAATATAGTAAGGAAAGTGTTTGTGCTAGAGTAGTGAGTTATACCTTAAGCGATCAGTCTGCGACTTCGTGATACACTAGGCGATAACACTGCATATCCTAAAGTGGGCTTGGACAAGCTTAAATAGTGCGGATTAAAAGTTCATAGAACAAATACATTAACCACGCGCGACAGTAGATCACTGATAGCGAGAAGACCTAGAGACAGGTCGTGCACGAACTCGAGGGCGATTGGGAAGCGTTAGTTTGCAGCAGGTCGCGGGTCAGACACTTCAAGCCAAAACGCGAGTCACGCTTCTTGCGTCCAAGTCCCCTTTGTCAGAGCCTACTCGTGTCTCATGCTGTTTCCCGGGAAAAAGTCCGCCTCCAACAAAATGAACTTCCTTGAGAGATAAGCAAACCAGCCCGTTTGGCACTCCTGCTGGATGCATTTGCACCACGTGCGCCGCCACTCACCTACCGTATCCGGCCGTATTCCTTCTTTTAAAAACTTTTGCTCCAATTAAAAACAGTTTTTAAGTATTTCACTTGGAACGCGGAAAGCTTTTTTCTTGCTTTGGCTTGTCTTCGCATGGAAATTCGTATATATATCATGTATCGGAAGACGGAAATCTCGAAAGTAGGAAGGTATTTCAGAAATAGTAGAGGATGAATTGAATGTCCTACTGATGACTTCTACAATACGAGTTCCGAATATAAAACAGAAACTGTTAGCGCTGTCTACAATTAGGTGTGAAGTTATCGCCACTGTTCACGTTGGCGTTTGTAAATTGATTTCCTCACATACAGTTAGAGGGAAAGCATATTAGTTTCTGCGCTAGACGTACTTTTTTTTCAGGATTCCAGCACTGAGCAGCTATCCAGTGTAGCTGGTACTAGTCGATGTTGTGTCGTATTTGACACTTGTGCTCTAATAGACGATCTAGAAGCAGGGTCAACCGTGCGCTCGCACTATTCGAACGAGGACGAATTGCGGGGCTAAACTTAGTTTGGCGGCGGCGCGGCAGTCTGCTCGCCTGGCATGTTCGGAAATCCGTGGGCCAGGGAGGAGTGTAGGCAGTCTAGGGGGTGGGGGTGGGGGCAGTCACTTGACATGCGTGAAAAGCTGGAATGTTCGAGTTTACACTGTCTCGCTCGAGAGAACCAGGCGCTGCCACGCCCCGTTGGCCCCTCCAATAAGTGAGCCCCGCATTTGTTTATGGAGTTAGGGTGGGTTCGCAATCTAGGCGGTTGAGTAGCGGCTCAGTAATGTGATTGAGCTAGAAAATGGTATGGGGAACGATTTAGAGGAAGGTTCTTAAGGTATTTTGTAGGGATGACACAGACGTTGAACGCTGTAATTGCGTGCGGTGAGGAAGCATAGGTGAGAGTAAGACAAAAGTTGCCTGTTGCAGTGGATAACGGCCTCCTGCCCGCTGCATTGCTGGATGTTGGAGAAAAGGGCGTCAGGATGTCCTAGTGGGTTGAGTTGTGGGGCTCGTGTCGGCTGGGTCAGAGACCAAATATGATAGAAACAGCCATGACAGTATGAATGTGGAGGTGGCGGCGTGCTGTGGAGGTATGAGGGTATCGTATTGGGGGGCTTCCTGAGTTACGATGGGGGATTGTGGAGCTTCGGTCTCGCACGACGCCTGAGACCGCCTATAGGAGAGGGGTCGCAAAATTTTAAAAAAGTGCAAACGTCACGGTTGACCTTGTCTAGAACTAAATGATAAAGATAAATGATAGATAAATGACTGTATTGAAAGGGAGAGCTTCTTGCTTTTTCTCCTTCTTGAGTGGGATGTCAGAAAGATGTAGTCCTTTTAATTTGCTCTTCCTAAGAGACAAACAATTTCGTTCTCTACCTCAAACACTGCTACACACAACATTATTTACCTCCATTCTTTCTTTTTCTTTTAATTTTTGATTCAAAGCTTGCTCATATTGTTATTCCTGAACGGGTGTTTTATGTGTTGGGCAAGATATCATCCACCTCACCGTCGAGTTACGAGAGGAGATGAAGGCTCTGAGAACGAGAAAATGAGGAAATTAGAAAAGAGCTGACTGAGCATGGAGAAGTTTACGCGCTTGCGAGTAATTTCCTGCAACGGTGTGTGCTCACTCATGTCGGGCTTCTCTCCGGGCCATGGATGTCAGCGCGTGTTCCAGAGTTACAGTTTCATACCTTCTCACCTTCGACATCCCCGTCTTCCGATATATGCGACATGTACGAATATACAAATGTCTGTGCGAAGAGAAGCCAAAGCAAGAAAAAAGCTCCCGCGTTCAAGTGAAATACTCTTAAAAACTGTTTTAGTCACGCAAAAATTATTTAAAAAGAGCCGTCGGGTACGGTAGGTGAGTGGCGGCGCAAGTGGTGCAAATGCATCCAGCAAGGAGCGCCAAACGGGCTGGTTTGCTTATCTCCTTCCTTGACCCCTTGCAGGTCAAAAGTTTTCCACTTCAGTATTGGTCAAGTGGTTAAAACCGTCTTTACCTTTTCTTTGTGACATAACCTCACCTTTCACCCTTATCGACCTCTACGTCTGGCGTCGTCGTCTGGAACTGTGGACTGTGGCATTTTGCACCTCAATTTCGGAACTCCTTGCTGCGGCTGCATCAAGCAGGTGCCTATTCAATTAAATAATTCGACGGACTTCCTTGTGGATGGTCAGTCGGCGACAGGGTGGCAATCTTCAAGTACATTTATTGTCCTGGGTTGGTGAGGCTAGGAGTCGGTCGAGGTAGAAGTAGCGGGCTTTCCCGTCGACTGCTTCTTCTTTGCGGAATGCAGCGAGTTCTTCGTAATCGTAGAGCACAGTTTATAGCACATGTGAACTATCTTGGAAAAGGAGTGTTACTGCACTATAGTTGATAGTGATAATGAGTAGCAATGTGTGAATGCAACGACGAACAGCTGATGATGAAATGCAAATGCACTTGACTGGTCCAACGATCGATAATTCGTCGGCTCTCTCCGCTGTGGACTGCCATGAGTGCATGGTTCTTGAGGCGACAACCGGCGCACTGTCGGCATTGGTGCCAAGCAGATCAAGAATGCTCAGGCTCCGGCGACGCAGGCTGTACGCAGCACATGGAAAAGAATGCGCATGGGTTCTTAGTACTAATCAGTGAGGACCTGCGCATGCACACAATTCATAAATAGAGCACCACACGATAAAACACCGACAACAAGAAAAACAAAGAAAACGAAATGGAAGTAGAGAAGAAAAATAGGAACTGATATCGTTAAAATAGTCAAGGAAGACTGAATACTAGAAACACTATGATCGGAATGAGAAGTGGAATCTGGACCACTGTGTGTGTAATGTTCAAAATGTAGTTCATTTTTTGGCAGAATAAAAAGTACACAGAACTTTGCAAATATCTGGTTCAGAAAGGAATTGAAAAACGACCGA